TCATCATCTGAAATCATTTCTTTCATTGGACTCTTATTAAGCCTTTACTACAATCTCTGTGGACGATAACCTATTTTTACCATTTTATTACTTGGAAAAGAAAATATTGGACCATATTGTATACTTGCTTTGTGGGTCCTTTTATAAGTTTAAGGGTGTGAAAAATAACATACCACTTAGCGGTCCTATTTGTTTTGTACCTTCTAGCATGGGTATTAATGTCAGCTACAGTGCTACTTTTGATTAATTCGGCTGGTTTTTTCAACCCTAGTTAAGGCAATAGTCCATCTTATATATGATTGAAGATAAAATTCTGTTTGTGCTCTCCATTGCTTATAGTTGGAACTGGTAAGGAGAAGGATCAAGTTAAAATTGACAAAACCTAATCACAAGATGATAAAAGGAATATATAAGTTGTCATTTGTAATTAATAATTATCTTAACTCCACAACTGAATACAAATTTCAAGTAATACTTATGATAGTATAAAACTCAATATTTAAAAATTATGTATCATCACATTATACACTACACATGTAAGTTATCCAATGAAAACAATCATATATATGGATAAGAAGAGTTTCAAAGTATCAAGATAGACATGTGTGTTCATATGTGATGGTGTTCTTAAACCAAAATTACTCATAATGCTTCTTCTATTGAAGAATATAATTCAAGTAAATGTGATTTGAGATACACAAGTTTTGACTGTTTAGTATGTATAATTTTTTCTCCAAAGAATAGCAACATGATCTTATGGTTTAGAAAATTTTCAGTCAAGGTTTTGTAGTTGTGAATTGATGAAGAAAAATAATCCAATTTTCATATAGGTTGGAGATATTAGGATTGTTTAAAAATTCACAAAAGTTTGTTTATCAATTAGGTGTCAATAGTCATTCTATATTTGAATTATATGATTTTATGCATTTATCTGTAGACATATTGACTAATCCATAAACCCACGTACGATATATTGATAACCATATTGTTTTGAAAGTCAATGCTTTAGATCTGATCAATCTTGTTCTAAAAACATATTTTAGCCAATAATCAAACAACACTAAATTTAGAACGATGTTAAACTTAAAAACTTGTAGGAATTTTCATATCTTAAATAAAAGTTTTTGATGAATATTGCGCAAATTAGGGTAAATGAATCATATTTGAAATGTCTCAAACATATCTCTAAATAACTTATGAAATTAATTAAACAAATAATTTAAAATTAATTAACTCAAAATTGGGCTATACAAGTTATCCAAATTAAATTATTGACCTCAAAATTGAATTACATCAATAATTAAATAATGCCTCAAACATATCTCTAAATAACTTATGAAATAATTTAACAAAACCAAATACAATAAAATTAGTCACACTAGCCGAATGAATTATACTATGAATTGAATAATTATATCAATATATTGGCTCCAGATAAATTAAAAGTTAAATATCTTAATTAAATTGATTGGTTCAATTAAATCATTTTTTATAGATATATGACTGTAAATCAGTAATGAATCTTGAACCAAATAAATTAATATTTGCCTAAATATATCCATTGCTCCAAAATTTAAATTAGATTTGAATCAAATTTAAATAGAATTAAGCAGCCATAAATAATTGATTTAGATAAATTGATGAACAACATGTAAATAGAGACAGTGACCTTGCCTAATTTCAAGATCTGTTTTTCCCCTCAAAATTAATAAATTTACAATGGATAAACATAAAATAAATTCGACAATGAATTAATTTTAATATATAAATTGTCATTGTGGATTCGTTGTGATCTTATTCCATATTTTCAAATATAATACTAATAATTAAATAAATGTATTATTCTAAACATATGACACGAAATATATAAATCAAAGATAATTAAATTTCCTTATTTTAGTAACAGAATTCTAGATGCATAATAAAACAAATCAAAAACCTAAAGAAAAGATAAAGGATATGGAAAATCAAATTCTAAAAATTGAGAAATTTTACGAAATCAACCAAAAACATTGAGTAAGTCCCTCGAAGTCGACCTAAAACCGAAAAATTCTCACGAAATCAACCAAAAAAGTCCCTTATCAGCAAAAAAGAACTTATAAAATCCCATCAACCAAAAAACTTAAAAATTTTCTCGAAACAATGAGATTCATTTATAATGCATCAAGCAACTTTGCAATATGATGTACTTAATTGCTTTCAAAAGGCGAGGTCTCGTCAAGAACAATTGTAGAAGGTAACTTGTTTTATCGTTTTAATGAAATCGTATTTTTACTTAAAAAATTTATCTTAAGCTTTTCATTTATTCCCCCGCTCACCTAAAATCCTGGAACCGCCACTGTTATTTTGTCAGATACTTGGTGGCTAAACAGGAGCTGGAATTCTGCAAAAATGATAGCAGGTTTGGCTGATGTGTTTACTTCCAAAAGAAAATTTTGAACAACTTCAAGATCAGTTTCAACTTTGAATAAGGGAGACTGTTGAAAGTTAGTTGATTCAAAGTTAGTTGCTTAAATAAAGGAAAAGTAAGATGAATCTACGTTCCTCGGCCTATAGTAAGTGAATGAGTGACGACTTGAATGAAACTTTAATTGTTGATCAGAGGAAAGGGAATACCTCGATAAGGAAAGAAAGTCGTTGTGCGTTAGCGCATCCGTTTTCTTGCTGGTTACCACTTGACATTTCTTTGGCCCCTTAGAAAAAAATAGACCAAGATGGTCATCTTACGAATTGGATTTGAACCAATATAAATCCACTTTCCCTTCTGCCCACTCTCCGTTCACACGGTTCTCAAAACAGAGGAGGAAGCTTCCTTCTTTATCTAAGCAACTAATAGGCTTGGGTGGCTAGGGCACATGCTATCGAGGTTACATGCCTCGCATATTCTACATTATAGCCTGCAACTGATTCAGCTTCTGCTTCTAGGAGATCAAACGGGGGTGGACCAAGCACTAATGGATCTCTCAACAAGAGCCTCATTCTTTCTAGCGACATTAGAAAGGACGAGAAAGGGCTTGTTGCTGGTTCGGACTAACTCGAATCTCGTAGATGACGATGAAGTGGGAGTCCTTTCCCCTATTCCTATACATACCTTGGCAGCTTGACAAGCTACCCTTCCTCTTGATCTAAGGTGCGAAGATCACTTTTCGATCACACTACAAAAATTTCCCTCGCTGATATTCGTCGCTGATACCTGATTTTCTAGTAGTGTCAGCCGTTGCTCCCTGTGCACTTAGCCTACAAACTCCGGCTCACTTCCCAACCCCGATTTGAGCATCTCCCTAGCCTCTAGAGCATGAGGTTGCCATGTAGTTGACAAACCTTCACTCGCTAGGGAAGAAAAGGGATAGGTGGGACTTTAGCTAAATTTTTGTTTGTTAACAGTTTAATAAGTTTAATGTGATTTATAGCTTATTCAGTCAGCTATATAGGACTATTTGCTAGTGGTTTGATGATATAGAAAATTGCTTATTCAATAAGCTTTTAGAGGATCTTTATGCAAAAAGCAAAAAAAAAAAAATTCTAAACCTGCCCCTCACAATAATGGAAAAAACATGTTCATTCCATTTATGACATCTCTGCCAAACAAAAACCATCTATATCTATACAAATAGATTAATCTATAAAGATAGATTTATTCACACAGGATTTAATGAAAAACCAACTAAACAACCCTAGATTTTTTATTTTTCAATTTTCTAGTCGTTAGTGGCTTTTTTGTTTCAAATTTGTTACTAAGAAATGTTTTCATTTTAAATTTATGTAAAACCACTACTCATACATTAAAACTATTATTGGGATGATATATATATATATATATATATATATATATATATAGAGAGAGAGAGAGAGAGAGAGAGAAAGTAGGTTTCAGGGGTTCATTGATTAGTACACCCCAGGTGTTGGTAAGGTCGGGACAGTGGTCGTACCTATTCGGGTTGCTGGCCTATCTTCTTTCTGAGATTGACCACCAGCTGCGTTGGTTTGGCTATTCTTTTCTATTGAAAAGGAGTTAGTTGTATGCGCGAGTCATCTTCTTCTAGGCGCTCTCTCTCTCTCTCTCTCTCTCTCTATATATATATATATATATATATATAGGGTTAGGTTCAAGGAAAAACTATAAAAAAAAATGAAAAACTGAAGAACATTCTGGTAATTGTTCATCTAGATGGTATGCACATGTGCATACAAAAAATTTGTCCGGTATGCAACCAACCCAACCCACATTGGTTTAGGTTGGGATGAATTATATGTTTACAATTCTTTGAAGTGGTTGAGATTTGTCAAATCGTAATCATTAGGTTATCGTTTGGTTGTTTGATCAAACGCCTTTAAATCATCTAACCCACCCCTACTTTGAAGGTTTATTTTTTATTCCGAAGGTTTTGTCTTTTTCTCTATGAAGCTAGGTCATGTTTGCTTAGTGTGAAGATTTGACGATAACTTCAAAAAGAACTTAGCTAATGCCTCATATATGGTTTCATGTCTTAAAAAACTAGATGATCTCACATGGTCTTCAAAAATATTGAAAACATGAAAACAAATCCGAAAAGATGAATTCGATTCAAAAAGTAACAACAAAAGAAAACAAAATATATGAGACGCAAGGCATGTAGAAGCTCCAAAGATCAATGCACTACCAAATTATACATTACAAAACAAAGAGACTTCACTGACAAATTTTTTCGATAGATTTGGAGTGGTTTACCGACATATTTTTCCATCAGTGATTGAAAATCTGCAGGTAATCGCGATCACCGGCCACTTTTTCTTCGGCGATGAGATTCGCAAGTGATAAACTTTTTCCGGATTACATACAGATTTTTCCATCGATAAAATCTCTTTATCTTGATAGTTAATGAATTTTGGGATGACTAATTATAGTTCTAAAATCGAAAATTAATATAGTACTTGGAATGTTTCAAATACATCTACATTAATCTAATAATTAATTAATTATATATGCATACATTTAGCATATATGTATATAATAATTTAACAATTACTCTAATTAATTGAAGTTGAAAATTCTTTGGCCAGGAGACAGTATCATTTTTGGATCATACTTGGCTTTCCTCTCCTCAAATACATTCCATTTTCCACCAAATTGCTTCATCCATTCTTCTTTTGTTTTGTAATATCTTGGAAGATATTGCTTGATTTTAATACCCATTTCATCACACACTTCTAGAATCTCTTTGTTTTGATCGTCGATGATTTTGCAGTTATCTATCTTTCCAGCAGAATGCAATAAACCTACGCTGTAAAACACATCTTCGTTGTCATCTGGTATGACAGCAGACATTTGACCATCCCACCTGTGTTTTTCAAACGAATTAGATATAATAATTGGCTCTAGCTAATAAAAGAGAATTACAAAAAATATAGTATTCTTTTCCACTTGACCATTTTGTTAAGAAAAATATCATTTCTTTAATAATCTGATAATTAGTTTTTTCGAAAATTGGTGAATTTAAATTTTTAATTCATTATTTTAAATTAGTTTTTGTTGTAAAAAGACTTTTAAACGTATTAATAAAGTGATTGTGAGAATTAATAATGGAATATATTTAATTACTTATAAATTTCAAGAAGTTGAAATAAAAAAGCTAAAAAATGTAGTTAGTAGAACAATTAATTCAGTTTTTTTCGAACCTTTCTTATTAATATAATAAATCAAATTAATGATTTCGCGATATTATTATTATTATTATTATTAGGAACTTAATTAATATATATTTTTCAAGAAAATCAAATTAGAAAGTAGAACAAATTAATTGGCCAATTAAACATATTTTTTTTCTTAACTCTATCCAACAAAAATATTTAATTGTATTACGCTAAGTATATATGTGAACTAATAATTGAAAAATATTATGGTTTTCTAAGTTTTTAGAAAAAATGAAATAATTTCTATTCAACCTATCTCTTAGTTGCGTTATGATGAAAAAGAGAGTTATGATATGAAGCATAAGAAAATATCTTCACCCTTAGATGCACATTAGGATGAGATGATGCATCGTTTCATGGGCGGGTTAATTTGAGATTAAAGGTGATCAAGGGATCATATCTCTTCTTACCCTTCTCATCATAACTCTTTTTCTCACATGATTCTTCCTCTCTCTTGATATATAATTATATATAAAAACTACATATGTACGTACTTCTCTAGTTGTTGGAGTAATTAAATGAAGGAAAATGGTTAATTACTTTTTCCGATTCATCGGGTAGACAAGGAAAGGCCCTGAGCTTTTGTTTTGTTTTTGAACAATATCGATGAATACGTGTTGATTAAAATCCAAAATACGTGATTTTGGGACGAAAAGATTCAACCATGGATGAGGAACATCCCATAGTCCTTTTGATTGAAGCTTTAGCTCTTCAATTCTCACTCTATTCAGAAAATCCTCAAATGACACATCTTTCTCGAATTTAAATCCATTTTTGAAGCTCAACCCTTTTAACATCTCTTCAAGTTCCTGTAAATTACAAATAAAATTTAATTAATTAATTAAGTTCTATATATAAGATCAGATCCAAAGCAAAACCGTAAAAAATGAAAAACTGAGGAACACTCTGATAATCATGCTTCTAGATAGTACATACAAGTAACTTGTAAACTATTTGTCTGGCATGCACACGTGCATACAAACCTAGAACCAGTTTCAATTACTTGTATGCAAATCTACATATACAAATAAATGATTATTAATAGGATATTTCTCAGTCTTTTTTTGGTTTTCCTCTGAACCTCCCTATATATATACACACACGGAAGATGAACATGAAAGAGTATATATAGATACATACCTCATTGACAGTTTGTATGTTGAATTCGTCATAATATTTGACTACTTCTAAGCTATAAACGATGCCATGTTTGGATGCTAAAGAATTTACTTTGGATTCACCAAGAGTTGAGAAAAATGAAGATCTCCAATTGTTTGCAAGATTCTTCTTCATGATAAGAGAGCCTTCAACATAATTAGGTCCATTATTTATTGAGATCAAGTGTTCTTGATCCTTTGTGAAGCTACCAAAGTCTTCATATATCATTCGAACCCATTTCACCTACAAAAAAGTCACAATCTATAATTTCCAAAAATGGAAATGTATCTATATCTATATTTATACATACATATATATACATATATACACACACACACGACTTAAGAAGCTCTATATTTGACGTCTGAATATCAGGACCCTGATTTCTATGTACCAAATTAAAGGAAACGATTATAGAGTACTTGCATGTGATTACTTGTTTGTATAGAAATAATAAAACCGCTTTCAAAACAAAAGAGAATGAAGAACAAAGGGATAATACTTATTAGTTTTAAAATGTTTTTCCTAAATATGATTGAAAGAAATCATTGGTTCTTTCTCTCTCTCTCTCTCTCTCTATATATATATATATATATATTAACTCATAGTTATATATATATATACACACACACACACGCCTGTAAAGCTAGGTCATACTCTTGATGGTGCCTTGTGGAGAACAATTCTTGCCCTAGTTATGATTCCAAATTGACCAAGACCTCCAAGAACACCATAGAAGAGCTCGGAGTGTAAGCTCTTGGAACAAGTCATGATATCCCCTTTTCCTGCAACCATCAAAGAAATTAATTAACATGCAAATTCAAGAAACTTAATCGATGACAACAACTAAATAAATTTTTTATTAAGCTTAGATAAAAATGATGCAACTATATATCTGATAATTATATATACAGGATCAGGTTCAAGTTTTGATTCGGGAAAAAACCGTAAACAAAATTCAAAAAATATGAAAGTACAATTCCCTTTAATTTGATCCATTTTTTTCTTTTTTTTCTTACTTTCTAAAAGTACATAACTCTTTATGCATGCAGTCTTGGCAATTATACCATATATGCAAGTTGTATTTCAAACACATCATGACTCAAACGAAGTATAAATGTTTACAGATATAAAAGTTTATGTACGTTCATGTGTATGTTTGTTTGTGTATGTTTGTTTGTGTGTGTATGTATATGTACCTGTGATGACATCCATTTCATGCACATTGGTGATCTGAGGACCATGAAGGAAAGCTTGGCCACTAATCCCTGCATTAGAGAGTGTACCACCGACGGTAAGATACAAATAATCTGTCCACGAGACAGGAGCCAACCCCTGCTCCATTGTCGTCCTCAAAACATCGATCCAAAGCTGCTCACCTCCAACATCAGCATAAAACCCTAGAGAATCACTCCAAGAAACCCTAATCCTACCATTTCCATTCAAAGACGACATTTCCACCACCACCCCATCTTTGGCCATGGCCTGTCCTCCGACACAGTGGCCATTGCCTCTAGCGGCGATTTTGAAGGGAGACGAAGAGTCGTAGGAGGATTTAACGAGGCGGGCGATGTCGGAATTGGTGGAAGGATAGAAAACTGCTGATGGGGTTTCTTGAACAAGTTTACCGAAGTCAGAAGAGGCTGTTTTGATGCAATTGGCATCTGTACACAGCTTGCTTGCTAGGTCAACTGGTAGGGTTTCATATGGGAGTGATGAAATTAAAGTGGTTTTCCATGGGGTAAATTTGCTTAGTATCATTGAAATCAAGTTGTTTATCATGTTTAGTACAATGATATAATGAGCCTTAGCCATTAACACAGAGAGAGAGAGAGAGAGAGAGAGAGAGAGAGGGAGGGGGGAGAGAGAGAGAGGAGAGACCTAATTATGTTGGATATAAGGAAGGAAGGAGGTAAGATACGTCTATATATAGATAGAAATATATAGATATAGGTATAAATATAGCTACAGAGAGAGAGAGAGAGAGAATCTAAGGGGAAGAAAAATCAAAGATACGCAAAGGGAAAGAATAGAATTTTGCAAAATTGTGGGTGGTTTCAAGAAGTAAGTTATGGTCAGGAATCCGAGGTGTAAAGGAGCTCCCAGTCGTACTTGTTCACTTTCGGAAAAAATAAAAGAGAACCCAAACTTTATTAACTATATAATTCATGATTTCAATATATATATATATAAATTGGTTATTATATAATTCTTTACATTTATATAATCAATACAACTCAATATAATCAATACAACTCAATCTCAACTGTTCATTTAATTTGATGAAGATGTAATTTTATATAAGTTTTGATTGTTTCCTAATATAAAGTATTAATCGCAATTAATGAACTTTATACATCTTTCATAAATATTCAATTCATAATAAATGAACTCTCATCATTTCCATAAATATCTCAATTTATTGAGTTGCATTGGTTGTACAAATATGATGAGTTGCATTTGAAACAAACGCACACACTTTCTCTCTCTCTCTCTCTCTCTCTCTCTCTATATATATATATATATTTGTTTTATTTTTATGTATTTTGCTTAAAATTATATATTATATTTAAAAAAATGCATCTCCATTTTACAAAAAAAAAAATCACTAAAATATTATTCCTGTTTTATTTCAAGAAAGAAAATGTTTACTAATTCTTCTTTCAAAAAAACACCTTGTTTAGTCAATGTATTTATATTTTTAGTATAAATTAATTATTTATATTTTAACAATTAGAAATGAAGACCTGTAATACATCATAAAACCAACTTTAATCATTATATATACATGTAATTTCAAAGCCTAGAAGTAGTCTCATGTCATTCCCTTGACATACTTTACTATTTTTTTTTGTCCAATATTTTACATATATCTTCTAGATCTTAATGATTATTTTTAAAAATATGTTTTGAGTTCTCTTTTTTCCTACCTTAAAATTTTATAAAAATGAAAAAATGAGGGTTAAATAATGCAATCCTTTAATTGTTAAATATCCTATGTTTGCTAATTTTCTTTCTTACACACATCAATATCGATACCCTTTTAGTATTCTTAATGCATGATTTAACAAGATTCTGATATTAAAAAAAAAGTGCATATATATAACAATCCTACGTTATCCGAACAAGAATCATCAGGTCAATAATGTATTGTTAGCTCTCCACACCTTAATTCATACAACTCAAGCTACTTCTAGAGTGCAAGGCACACCAAGTTGGAAAAAAAAGATTGAAAGCCATCATAGGGAATATTCTTAATTACTATATTAAATAACTTTGTCATATAAAACGCAACATTTATATATGTTTGATAATGTTTTATTAATTTACCATGTTTTATTTACAAGAAACAAGACTAATGTAGTGCATATATATATGTGTGAATATTTATCATATATATTCAAAAAGATTAATATATAAATAAAAATAATCAAATATCCATAAAATACATAGGTATTAAACAAATAATTTAATGGATTAATTAATAAAGGCACCACTCACAGAATTAAAAACATTCTTGTGGGGCTTTTTGATGGAACCAACACATGCACCAAATTGGTGTTGACATGCAATTTGATTAAACATGAGTTTAAGAGAAAAAGGTTCCCAATATGGGCACAAAACAAAATTAGCACTTTTCTTCTCCTTTTACATGTTTAGAACCCTTTTTATTTAAGATAAACATTAAAAATAAATGTTTGATATAAAATGGGTTAACATATAAAGATATTATTGAGAAAAAAAAATATAAGAATTTCAAATTACCCAAAAAAGTTATATTCTTTAACTTCTATTTTATATATCAGATTTTAAATTTTAATATTATTTACTATATATCTAACTAAGGGTATCTTCGGTACAAAAGCGATTTGTACAAGTTATCGTTGTTGTAGAGACTTCTTATAAGAATCTTCTACTCTTTAGGTTCTTGTATAAGAACATTGGTTCTTACCATTAAGTTTGTCAGAAATTACATTTTTCCTAGTTTTTTTTTATATTTCATTTTATTGACATTATATTTATTATTGATGTTTAAAAAATCAATGAGACCCATAAAAAATATATTCTTATAAGAATTATCGTTGTAGACTTCTACGAGGGTTTATAATTTGATGAGTTGAAAATGAGATGATAACAAAAAGTGCAAAAAGGAGATTTTTATAAAAACCTCCATTAAAAATATTCTAAGAGTCTCCATAGTCATGGACTTCTTTATAGATTTATGACTTTTTCATGTTTTAAAATTCTCTCTTTTTCGCATCATTTTTTTTCTTTTCTATGCATGTGATAAACCTTTCAATCTCATTATTGGATCGCTCCATAATTTATATAATAAAATTTATAATAGCTAAGAATTACTTATTATAATTAAAAATTACTCTAAAAAGTTACTAACGAAAATAAAAATTACAATAATCAAAATAGTAAAAATTATAATAAATAAAAATTACAATAACGAAAATAAAAAATCGTTGATGTGTAAAAATAAAAATTGTTTGTTGAAGCATTTTAATTTTTATCAAATTTATAAATTATTTTATTTATATAAAAATAAGAAAACTATATAAAAAAAAAAAGATAATTTAAATACGACAAATGCAACAAATAGACTCGCACACCCTCTTCATTTTTGGTGAGGTTTGAACATGTGACCTCCTAGGAAGACATAGACTACGATACCGTGAGGCGTGAAGACAAAGATCCTTTAGTAATTTCTTTTATTATAAATAGGTCCCACAAATAAAGAATGAACGGTTCTTGGAGAGGAACCTCTCCGCTTTCTATCTCGATTGAACCGATACCTCCTGGTAGTGAATAATTTGATAAAGCGTTTCTTAAACGTCTCAGATTTCACCACTATGGATGTTTCTAATCTCATGAATTCTTTACAAAATAAATTGAAAAAAAAAAAGGTGAAATAAGTTTGTTTTTTCTTTCCTTATTGGGAACGAATATTGGTAGGTAGGCAGGCATAAAGATCTTTGAAATATTTACTGTTGAGATATGATGAGAAATTTCAAATGTAAAAACAAAAGGCAAAGTGAGAAGATTGATGGAAACATCACCCAGATTTTGGTCTTCATGTTTAAGATCTTCTTTGTAGGTATATGTGGATACATTCAAATCTTCAATATCATATATTAAAATCTCATTCTCATTTTATAATATAGTTTTTTTTGGATACTCGCATAACATGAAATATTCATCGGATTTTATCAATTCAAATAGCATGGTTAAATGCATCTTTATATATCGTTAAATACATCTCTGTCTATTAATTTCAAACTTTTTCACATACATCAATATTAAGACTTACTTCTTACATTTTTAATGTATGATTTAACCTGATTTTAATATAAAATGGGTGTGTATAGCATTAATTACTCTTCAAATACGCATGGTTTCATATATTTTTTTCATCGATATTATTTCATATTTGAAACAACAAATGATTCCACCTTAATAAATACAGTGATGTTTCTTAAGCAGTGTTAGTTCCATTTTTAAAATGTGGATTAATGCATTAGATTAAATAGATTAATGGTTAGCATTGGTCCTTAAAATTTATTTGCAATATATTTAAGATTTTCATTTGATTTCCCTCCTCTCATAAAATCGTAAAAACTATGAGAAACAGTGCATCGTGCGTTATTTCATATAAAATTTAAAGTATTGATTAACATATATTTCTTTTACATGTAAAACTATTTTACATGTTTGTTTTCACCAAAGTACATGTAAAAAAGTTTTACTTTGTACAATATATGTAAAATAAACAAATTGTGAAACAAATATATGTTAATCAATACCATAAATTCTAGTCTTTAATGGAAAAAGAACATGTGAAACAATAGCTTAAGTTATAGGTTTCACGGTTATCACAATATATTTGAGGTTCTCATTTGATTTATATATAGAGTCATGTATAGGGGAAAACTAAAAAAAATGCAAAATTGGAAACACTCTAATAACTATTCATCTGTATAATATATATGCACGATCATATAAAAAATCAAGAAACATCTTCAATTCTTTGTATGTACATATACATACCATTACAAACGAATGATTATTAGGGTTTTCTTCAATTTTTCATAATTTTTTAGTTCTTTCTTTAAACCCCTCTCTCTCTCTCTCTCTCTATATATATATATATATATAAGAATTCTCTAAAATATATTACTATTAGATTTATTGTAGTGAATAATAAGAATCCAACATTAATAAAAGCTTTAAATTAAATAATAAAGTGTAGACTTTTTATAAAAGAAAGAACCTTGAAATTCAAATATCATAAAACGTGAGAAAAATGTCAAAATCCCAATTGATTTGGTGGATCAATACGTTGAATGGTATAAAGTTTGTGACAGTCAAATTAAAATTTTGATATGAATTTATTTTTAATTAAAATCTATTTCTTAGTTGATCATCTTTAAATTGACAAGTCCCACTACGTAAAACTTATTTGCATCAGCAGTTAATTAAAAACGATATGTTTAATTATGTAACATTTTAAATCCAAAATAAAATCAATAATCAATTAACCTAATAATTTTTAAAATTATGGTAGAAGGTATAAAAATAGCATACATGATTTGGGCTTGACACAAGAAACAGGGTTATTGTGACCACTTTTGTCATCACTGAATATTCAATTTATCATCACAAACTATTTGTAGCGACGATATGGCATGCCCAAAGCTCATTTTTCTTCTAGAGGCATTACAAAATCATATCAAAATTATCTTCTACCATCAAGATGGTGATACAAATCTTGTCGAGCACAGTCCCTAAAGGGGTGTTGGTAACGTCTT